GATGAATGAGAACGGGGGGTCACGAAAGGAGAAAACAAGGTGACTCTGTGTACCCTTCGCCTTGCATTCCTCCTCACGCAAGCTGCCTTCCTCACAGATCGAACACACACCTTCTGAAATCATTCTTCGATAACTGTTTCGTACCAGAATAACAAATTGAACTGTTGCGAGAGGAGGACTAATGCATGCATGAAGAAAAATGAAAATAGCTTCGTGCTCGTCGAGATAATTGTTTTAAAGTCAACTGTGACTTGGTAAAACTCGCATCGTTTGATCGATGGTCGTCACGTAACGTCTCCTTCAAACTACTGTCGATTTTTCTGTCGTGTGTTCCTTTTTTTTTTTAGTTTCTGTACGAGCCTGTTTTGAACATAGACCCTAAGGAAGCAGTGGTGATAAGCCAGTGTACTGATGATCAGACGTTTGGAATACCTAAGAAATTACTTAACAACTGTATTCCGAATGCATGGTTTATTTTACTGTCCAGTACAGTAACCATTGTGGTTGCGGTTGTTGTAGGTGCTGTGTATCATTCATGCACGACTTTTTCTACATTGCAAAATTCAATTCTTATCAGAATCGTATCTCTTGAAGCAAATTTGGAGAAAAAATATGAACAGAGCAAACGAGATACCAGAGTTCACATCATTGAGGCCATCAAATCCCTAAAAGCAGTCTTGAGGAGAGATTTGAGAAGAGCGAACACAGTGCTAGAGGTCACATCAGCGAAGCTATCAAATCCTTAGAAGAAACTCTGGCTGAAAACTCAATTGAAAGCAAACAATATACAAGATGTTCATCGGCGACGTCATTAAATCATTAGAGGCCCGCTTTGAAAAATTTGTAGGAAAAAAGCTTGATCAGAAGGAACAAAGTTCCAGAACTGTCATCGAGAAGGCTACCAAAACCTTTGAAGCACGCCTCAAGACTTTTATGGTTAGAAAGTTCAATGTTCTTAAAGGACTGGCGGGTAGATAATGTGAAGTTATAAATTTTAGCGTCGCATGTTCCATCAGCAAATTAGACTGCAATAAGCATCGCAATGGAGTTCAGTTTGAATTATGTTGTTGGAATTCGTGGTGAACGTACGTAGCTATGCGTTGCTATACATTTGATCAGATGGAATACATTTTTACGCGATAGCGGAATAGAATTCCATTCGATAGAATAGAATTCCATTCGATTTGGAGCGAAATTTGTTTTGATAAGTGTCAGTGGACATTATCTGTTCAAAGCAGCCGACGGCTTTCCGAGAGCGAAGTTCCAGGATAATTGTGATGTGTTTCGCGTGACCCTTGCTGAAATCAGCGGATATCCGGTGTTATAATACGCCGATCAATTCGAAGCCTCAGGAACTACTGGTGATTCATTTACTCAACACCATGGCTATCCCGTTACAACTAAGGATCAGGACACTTTCGACAATGACAGCTATGACGGTAACTGTGCTAAGGAACTTAAAGGAGCCTTGTGGTACTTAGCCTGCTCAAACCTCAATGGTTACTATTAGCACTCATCGGATGCTGATGGAGTCAACTGGTATCACTGGAAAGGTTACCACTACTATGCGAGGAAAGCTGAGATGAAAAGCAGACTAGTAGAGTTTCAGAGCTAGGGTTAGATGCATTGTGCCGACATAATTTTGGGCGTAATGTTACTGTCGGAGCATTGAGCACAATGCCGGTATCAGAATGGGCATTTTTTCAGCATGAATAATGATAATAATTATAATAATAATGATATTGAAATTAATATTTTCATAACTGTAATGAGAAATTTTCACTTTCGAGTGCAATTAGTAAGGATGCAACAAATTCAGAAAGGTTCGGTTAATAATTCAGTTAAGGCCTGGTTACATCGATGCATTACAAGGCTTTCGAGTTGTCTATCCAGTATCCACCACAGGGGAAAGGGGGGAGGGGGGCACAGGGGGGTCACAGCTTCCCACCTCACGTACTTTTGTCCCCCTCTGCCTCAGGACTCCCGCCCTTCATTGTATTACTCTTGCCTTCAGGATAAATAAAAGGATGAAACATGGGTTTTTGGTAAGTTGTGCCAAAAGGTATCATTCTTGACCATTCTCTGGCGTTTCATTTTTCGGGGGAAAGGGAGGTTATTTTCTCAAGATGAACATTATTACAGGCCAAGTTTTTATTCATTATTATTTGACCATCGATTCTAACATCTCACTATATAGAAGCTAAAGAAAGTCTCAGTCCTTTGTTCAATTTAATAGCCATAACAGTTACAAACATTTCTTGATTAATTATAAATTTAGGAATCCCTAATATACTAGAATTATGCCATTTAGAAATGAAACCTTATAGCCAAACTTGAAGTTAAAACACGAGTACTCCTTTCTAATCCCTGCTTTTAGTTTCACTAATTGCATATCCATAGTGGGGAGTTATCATCTACACAAATCTCATTGTCATTATGATAATGGTTTATTATTGTCGGTAATAATACATCACATATGACAAACTTAGTATCTTTAACCGTTCAGTTTCACCCTTTACAGCCTAACATCAGTATTCATATTCTCCATACTATTCTCTTTACATTTCCTAAGGTGCTGACAGGGAGAATTTGTTTTGTAGATATATTTTCTTGATGAATGATTCAGAGCTGATGTTGTAAGGAGAACTTAGATGCTGGTCACTTTTAGGGGTTGAGGGGTTAAGCGCTGGTGGAGTATTATTGTTTACTTTGTTCGGCTGTGTTGTATATTAACTTGTCTTACTATATTTTCTTTGATTCAAGGTTTAATCTCGTACCCAAATCTTGCCCTGGAACCCCCTTGGCCACACACACATTGGAACGCTCTTGATCCCGAACCAAAGACACTCTCTCATACTAATTTTAAAAATTACTTAGTTAAATTTTACCGTAGTATGACTTCTTTTCTTGATCATTTTAAGATTCGTAAAACTTTAGATTTTAGTTTCATTAGTAGTAAATCAATCAATATTGTATTAATAGTAGTTCTTAATGTAATTTTAGTTTGTAAATTATATAGGTAGTCAATTATTCAATCGATACATTTTAGTACTTTAATTGTAGGATCTCAAAAATACAATATATATGAAAACTACTGGGTGACCAGTAATCAATGTCTTTACCCTCGTTAAATAAAGTTATTACACACATGGGACCAAGTCACAAGCCTCATGAAAGTGATGACTTACTTTTGATTCTCTGCTAAACATGAAATGCAATCAGGTCAGCATGAATCCAATGAGAAACTACAGAGATAAGCATCTAAGATTTGTACCAGAGTTCAAATATATATTTTCCGGCCTCACCAGATGTCGCTTTATGGGCTGCCAGTTGTGGGTGCGTTTGCGACGATGTAGAGATTTTACTGCGTACTAGGTTCTTCAATCGCTCTAACAGAGAAACTAATGTATCATTTTAAAAAATTCCAATCATAGTTGAACATTTACGTGCACTCACAGAACAAATTATCAAAAGAAGGCGCGATCAATGAATTGAAAATATCAGGAGAGATGCGGTAAAAAAATGGCGACATCAAGGATCTGCATGTGTGTTCTATTCACTTTCATTAAGTTATAAGTTAAATAATACATGAATTTCGCTCGGTTCTTACTTATGATTAAATGGAAGACAGACGCATGGACACAGTTACCGTTAAAAACATTTTGCCTTGGAAGGCTGAGAATGATTCGAACCCTATGACATGTCAATAATGTTACTTACGCGAAATTACTTTTGAATTCCATCTCTCTTAGTAAGCTAGCATGTATGCTCTAAAAATCCAGCGGTCTGATTTTCATCTCAGCCCTCTTCACAGAACGGTGGTATCCTTTCCAGTGATACCAGAAAACTCCAAAAGTGGCTGAGTCCTTTCTATGACGATAGGCATCGTTCAGGTTTAAGAAAGCACAGTCATGAGACCACAAGCCGCTATTAAGCATCCCAACACAGGTAATTACACGGTTGTCATAGTACCAACTCTCGGTTGAAAAGGGATAGCCATGATGTTGAGTAAGAGAGTCGCCAGCTGTTCCTAGAGTAAAGAAAAACTCAAAATTAGCTCTTGCGAGATATTCCCAGAGACGTCATGTAATCCATGCAACCTTACCTAAGAAGCAAAGACACAAATCACCGTTACCCTCGGTCGACAAAACTGAGTTACAGTTTTAAAAAGTAAATACTAACTCCGAGTCTTCATGGATAATGCCTACGAAGTTGGCCACACTGCACTTGATACAAATGAACAAAAAACTTTTAGGCCGTTCTCGAAACCACTAAATGGTACTAGTTAAATTAAAGCAATTACTTTCATTTGCTTCAAACAATTTACCTGAATATTTCCCAACGCTCAACTGATACTTCTCACTTTCAGTCGCTACTACAAACATGTCGTATTCGATATCTTCCAGATCGACTCGAAGCTTGCTCGGGGATTTTGTCAAGCGGTGTATCTTTTCCATTCCTAACCAAAACTCGCTATCAAAGTTACCAAATTAAAGCCATTCCTGTAGTCAGACCAGTTGCGGTCGAAATCCAAAGAGCCGTCTAGCCTCCTTTGGACCACTGTCCATCCCCCGCCGGCGTTTTTTTGGTCACAAAACACTTTAAAGTCAGGTAAAGCATTATCCGGGTTGATTTTATAAATACCGCTGGTTATTTCACCAGATTTATAAAGCTCGGCACAGTTCTTACCCACTGATAAAAATGAATGAATAAAAAAATGATGATAATAATAATAATAATAATTATGATAACTTTCTCTTGTGGTAAACAATACCTGAATTGTGAGTTTTGTCTTTTTAATCTCGGCCCAGGAAATTGAGCATCATGTAATAAGTATTATATTGTTAATTTAACGTTAGGTGCTCCTGTGGAATTTTCGGGTATACATAGGAAATTGTATGGACTCGAGTAGATTTCCAGATTTATGGGCATGATTGATGTTTAGAAAGCTATCAAATTTGCATGAGCCGTGGGCGAGTGCAAATTTGAAAACTCTCGAAACATCACTCGTGCCCATAAATCACGAAAAACACGAGCAAGTTGACACGATGTTTTATCTATCATATACTCAACAGTTAATTCATCACACTAGTTTGCACTCCTTACGCCTTTGCTCACAAGTTTTATTTAAAGCGATCAAAAATATAATGTTACCTCATGTCAAATCAGGCGTGAAGTTTTTGAAAGTTTCTCAGAAAAATATATGCTTACATTCATGAGCTGAAAAGTGAAATTTCAGTGTTTGAAGCAGCAGGAACGATCTTCAGAAAATGTTTTGATCCCAATCGGTTGCAGTTAATAGCATTCTGATCTACCTACTTTGGTAAACTGTATATAGCCCTTGAATCACGTTAAATGTGACTTGACAGTTGTCAAATTATGGTCGTTTGTGTTCTCCTTTTCACATGTCGAAGACGTTGCAGGAAAAGACCACATTTCTGGTACACCTGGGAAAATTGCTAGAAGCTGCTGGTTATGGAGGCATGCTAACAGCTGCTGTTCGCTATCGTTACCTTCATCGTAATCGTAAAGAGAGTTTTCGCTTGCGTGCCCAGTCACCTAGGTTATCGACTGCTTTTCGACGCTTGCTGCCCTGAGCTTCTTCGCAAAAATCTCCCTTGTAGTGTGTTTCATCAATTTCTTCTTGTTTTTTTAAAGAGGTGTGTTCTTTACAACACTCTTCATCATACAATCGATGGTGTTTTCGCCGAGCCGCTGCTTCTTGTACCTAACATTTTCTGGGGGGGTTTCAATTATGGCGAGATGAAAAGGACCTTTGTCTCGCAGCTCTTGAGGATGTCTACGAATTTATTGCTCCAGTAACTCACGGGAAATTTTTTAGCAGAACACGACATTTTGTCCAAATGTTTGTGCTAGTATTCTTCAAATTTTGGTTTTTTTTCTCTCTCATTCGCCCATGTTTCCCAGACATTCAACCAGTCTGTGCTGATTTCAAGGTATTTTTATTTTTGCATTTTCTTTAAGTTGCTCGACTATGTTTTGGTTTGGCGGCAAATCTGCAATTCAAATCTGATCAATGATTTACATAATAGTGCTTATTACATGTGTGGAAGGTCGATCCTAAAAATTTTCTAAGATTTTGCTTCTTCCGTCTGCGGTTTCATATTTTCGGAGAGCTTTGCATGGGCTCCGACATGAATTTGATTGAAATGCGACCTAGACCATATCTACAACTTTACGCCGGGGTCACGCAAAGCGCATCACAGTTTGACTCCGGCTTCATTCTCGAGTAGCTACTCGGGATATTATTACCGAAGATAATGTCTGCGAACAAGTACTCAAATATATTTTCGCTTCAAATCGAATGGAACTAGACTCTATCAAATAAAAATACATTCTACAAGATTAAAATGCATAGCTACGCATTGCTACGTGTTACCACGAATTTGAACGTCTTCATTCAAATTGAACTTTTATGCGATGCTTGCTGTAGTGGAACACCTGACGCTATAATTTATAACTTTACATTACCTACCTAACAGTCTTTTTAGCAATGTAGTCTCGAACTCTTTGATAGCCTCCTTGATGAAAGTTTTGGAGCCTTGATCCCTTTTATCAAGCATTTTTTCCATAGTTCCATAGGAATTACATTCTATTAAATAAAAATACATTCTACATGATTAAACTGCATAGCTACGTTTACCACGAGTTTGGTGCTTATTGTAGAGAAACATCTGACACTATAATTTTCAACTTTACATTACCTACCAAACAGTCTTCTAAGCACGTTAGTCTCGGACTCTTTGATAGCCTCCTTGATGAAAGTTTTGGATCCTTGTTCCTTTTTATCAAGCATTTTCTCCACAGTTGTTTCAAAGCGGGCTTCTCGGGATTGGATGGCGTGATATTGGTACAGAGCCGCCCCAACAACAACCACAACCGCGATGGTTTTGTTAAAAGACCATTCACTTGCAATACAGCTGTTCACTAATCTCCTTAAGAATCCAAATATCTGACCATTAGTATTTTGGTTTATCACAACACTTTCTTGAGTATCGGTCATTGTTTAAAGCTAAAGCATACAGAAAACTATCGAAAATGTAACGCACAGCGGTAAAAAATGGAAGTCGTTGCGTGACGAACGTGTCGAAAAGAATCTGTTGGGAGTTAGTACATTACGGGTAACGAGTGGGGGAAGAAGAAAAGACTGAAATACGAGTGGTCAGCGGGGAAACAACTTTAATAACTCATATAGAGACATATCAGTTGTAGTTGCAGAAAACAATAGTGTTGTAAAGCCGAAATGTTAACAGTATACTTCGCTAAATAAAATTTTAAGCAATTTTTCAAAAGTGTTGATGGTACATATATCTTTCACTGCTGTATTAAACAATGGAGGCATCGGAAAAGGCATCGGTGGCATTCGGAAAAGCACCAAGCAGAATTGTATTTACGTTTTGTAACTTGCAAAAAACAATCGTGTTGTAAAGCCAAAATGTTACCAGGTTATACTTCGCTACTTAAAAAGTTAGGCAATTTTCCAAACGCTTTGACTGGAACAATATTTTTACTGCTATATTAACCAACGGAGGCATCGGGAAAGGCATCGGTGACACCGGGAAAGGCATCAACAAGAATGACATTTACGATATGCAACTTGTTGTATGACGAAAAAAAGTATCTTGACTTGTTTAAGGCGTTAACCACAGCTGATTTGCTTTTCACTTGAATTTTGCAATCTCGACTGTCCATTGCGGAAAAATGAAAAGCTAAGCAAATCTAAAAAAATTTCGTTCTAGATTTTTATATTTTTAGAGTCATTAATAAGTTTGTATCCACGGCCTTTAGATAAGAAATTTAAAATTTCCATCAGTTGTAGTTCTTTTATTGTTTATTACATATATTCAATCGCCTCATTTCACGTAAAAAAGGCATGTAGGAAAACACTGAGCTTCGAGAAACAGCCAAGTTAAGGCTAATGAGTTTACCATGCTTAATATTTATTATCAGGGCCACTCGTTTAAGAGACCTTTTTTCAAAAGATCCAGACGTTAAAATAATTCTGTTTTCCGTTCGAGGTGTTTTTTCCTATTTAATTTAACAAATGAACTCGGGATGAAAACTTAACTTTCGAACCGAACGGCAGGTGGAATGTTGTGTTGGTCTCTGTCCCCTCCACGTCTCTGCGAAAGGTATATCCAGACAACCTGCATGGAAAAAGTGACCACAGCTATCGCACCAAATTAAAAAAAATCTTTAAAACTAAACTGGTGAACAGCATTCTGCGAACAGTAGTTTTAAAATTTCTTTATTCTCCGACGCGTTTCGTCTATCTGTCGTAGACTTCTTCGGGGAGTTTTACAATTTAACACTAAACACCTGTATTTATAAGCCATAGTTAGCAGCTATACAAGGGCCAGTGACTACAAAGGCTTGGCCGGACCTACGAATAGGAACAGGTGAAGTTGCGAAAAATTTGAAAATTTTTTGGGGCAAGGACCACGGTTTTGGTTTTCTTTTTTGGTCACGCACGTCACGCAGCAAGTTACAAAACGTAAACATAATTCTTCTTAGTGCTTTTCCGGATGCCACCGATGCCTTGTCCGATGCCTCCATTGTTTAACACAGCAGTAAAAGATATATGTGCCATCAACACTTTTGAAAAATTGCAGTAACATTTTATATAGCGAAGTATACTGTTAACATTTCGGCTTTGTAACACTATTGGTTCCTGCAGCTATAACTGATATGTCTCTATATGAGGTATTAAATCTATTTCGCCGCTGACCACTCGTATTTCGGTCTTTTCTTTTTCCCCCACTCGTCGCCCGTGATGTAGTCACTCCCACCTGTTGAGTGCGGTGGCCTACGGTGGCCCATACGGTGGCCCAAAACTGTCACGGCAAAAAAAAAGCCACGGCACTACAAAATTAACTCACGGCAAAACAAAATTAACCCACAGCAAAACAAAGAAAACGAGTTTGTGAGCGGTTGGTCAGCGGTTTTTATTTGCATTGTAGGTCGTGTAACGGTAAACAAACGAAATGGCGACCTTTATTGCTAAGAGTAGTGGTGGGGTGAAAAAGAAGCCAATGATAATCTTAAAAGAGTTTATATTTATTCGTTTTAGTTTCAACAAGCGGCGCCAGCGATTGGCAGGCGTGCGAGGATTCACACTGAAATAAGAGAACAACCTTCGTTTTTCGTAAAATTGTAATTTACAGTCCTTGAACTTGAAAACAATCCGAAGATTCCTTAAAAATTATCACTTACTCCAAAGCGCTCAGAGTTTACTGGTGTTCAAAAGCTTTTTCTGTTATGGTTTGAGATTGGGGACAAAATCGATCACTACATTTCGTACCGAAAATCAAATAACACCTAAACAAATAATTTAACTACTGCTCGTACTCTAAATATGACAATCAACCACAAAATTCCCTAAACCAGAAAAAATTAAACATAATCCAAAAAATCATATAAGTCATCTGTCAATTCACGAGTTTGCTCACAGAGCACTTTGATTCGAGCTCACGATGTTTTGCTCCGCGTGTGGTTCGGTAGCAGATGAAGATGCAAACTTTTGTAAAAGCTGTGGTAGAGGTACGTTTCTTAAGTTAAAGTGTTCGTATTTGCATTTCTTTTAGTTCCAAATAACGATAGGCGTGAGAAGACACTGTTACAAATTAGCTGATTAGCACGTGTCTGATTGTGCATGTAACCTGTGTGTAAGAAGAAAACATTCATAATGTATGTGTCTTTTCACGCCTATCGTTATTTGGAACTAAAAGAAATGCAAATACGAACACTTGAAATTAAGAAACGTACCTCTACCACAGCTTTTACAAAAGTTTGCATCTTCATCTACTACCGAACCACACGCGGAGCAAAACATCGTGAGCTTGAAAAATGGCGGTTTTTCGAGCGAGCAGTGTATTACTATTACACGACGTACCATTTCAGATGCAAATAACAACCGCTGACCAACTCGTTCTCTTTGTTTTGCCGTAAGTTAGTTTTGTTTTGCCGTGACAGTTGTGAGCCACCGTAGGATGCAAATGTAGAAAAAAATACCAATGCCCCCTAGACAACAACTGCCACACCAGCAGTGTAATCTACAAAGCCAATGTGACCACAGACAAAGACGACACAGGAAAGAACTACATCGGACTAACTGAAGGAACATTCAAACAACGATATACGCAACATAAACTATCATTCCGTAACAGAAAATACGCCAACCGCACCGAACTAGCAAAACACATTTAGAAACTCAAGGACAACGATGAAAACTACAAATAAGCTGGTCTATCATCTCTTCAGCAAGCGCCTACAACAATATTTCCAAACGATTCATTATGCTGAAAAAATTCCCATTACACCGGCATCATGCTCAATGCTCCGACAATAGCGTTATGTCCAAAATTATGCCGGCATAATGCATCTAACCCTACCTTTAAAACTCCACTGGTCTGATTTTCATCTCAGCTCTCCTCGAAGAGCAGGGGCAAACTTTCCAGGAAAGCCAGCTTACTCCATAAGCACACGATGAGTACTTCCCATGATAATAGTAACCATTGAGGTTTGACTGACGACAGGCCCGGTACCACCAGGCTCCTTTATATTGCTTAGCATAGTTACCTACATAGCTGTCATTGTCCTGATCTTTGGATGCCTATTACACCGGCATCATGCTCAGTGCTCCGACAATAGCATTATGCCCAAAATTATGCCGGCATAATGCATCTAACCTTAGCTTGAAAACTCCACTGGTCTGATTTTCATCTCAGCTTTTCTCGCAGAGTAGTGGTGACCTTTCCAGTGATACCAGTAGACTCCATCAGCATACGATGAGTGTTTCCCATGATGATAGTAACCATTGAGGTTTGAGGTATGACAGGCCCAGTACCACCAGGCTCCTTTAAATTTCCTAGCACAGTTTCCTTCATAGCTGTCATTGTCCTGATCCTTGGTTGTAAAGGGACAGCCATGATGATAAGTAAATGAGTCACCAGCAGTTCCTGTAATAAAGTAAACATCTGAAATTAGCCCTGGCCTAAAGGGTAAAGACAAAAATTCCCGTCACACTCAGTCGAGAAAACTAAGTTACAGCTTTGGAAGGTCATAAGACACTTATTCCGAGCCGTCTCAGAAAATGCCGAAAGAGTTCGCCACAGTGCATTTACTTTGGTGAATGACCAACAAACTTCTAAGTCTTTCCCAAAAAAGCTCTACCGTCAGCAAAATAGACCTGATCAAGAGAATTACTTTTATTTGCTTCAAACAATTTACCTGAATATGTCTCAACGCTCAACTGGTACTTCTTACTTTCGTTTGCCACTGAAAACATATTGTAATCGGCGTAAGCAGCGTTGCCGTCAAAATCTTCCAAATCGACCCGAAGTTTGCTCTGGGATTTCGTCAGGCGGTGAATTTTTTCTAGTCCGAGCCAAAACCCGCCTTCAAGGTTACCAAAGCCATTCTTGTAGTCAGATCACTTGCGGTGGAAATCCACAGTGCCATCCAGCCTCCTTTGGACCACTATCCATCCCCCACCGGCAGTTTCTTGGTCACAAAACACTTCAAAGTCAGGTCCAGCACCATCTGGGTTGATTTTATAAACACCACTGATTGTTTTGCCGAATTTGAACAGCTCGGCACAGTTCTTACGCACTGATAAAAATGAATTAATATAATAATTATAATAATAATTATAGTAATATAACAGCAGTAACGAGATGACGACCTGGAAAGTATTCTACATCTATCTTTTAGGACGACCAAAGCACCCTCAACCTTTACTCCTTTAAAGGAAAGGTTCTTGTTAAATTATATTTCTCTTGGGTCCCGTGTGCCTTCAGTACATGGTTTTATTAGCCAAGCGAAAGAAAGGGACAGGCACTATCACCTAAAACGTAAGGACCTATTTCACATTCACATTTAGCTGGCTTAGGTTGTCCCCTTGTCTAGCTCTTTGAAAGATGGCACTGCACCCTAATATTCGAGCGTCGTGCATGCTTCGAGGAATTCCACATGCGAAGTCCACATAATTATTCTTGTCATCAACTT